TTTAGTCGCTTATTACACTCGAATTTACTGCACTTTAATTGAGTTTTGCGCTTTAATCGCTAGTGTTTTGCACTAATTGTGTGTTTTATGCCTTGTAGGTGTGATTCCGAGCTATATAGATGTTATGGAATGAATTTAAGTGATTTGAAGCTTTGAAGTCTGAGTAAAAGCTCAAGGAATTAAGCCGGGATCGTGTTATGGGGTCAAATTTGATAATTAAGTACGAACGAAGACTTGAGGAGGCATATTGCGCACTGTCTAGTAAAATAGACATAATTTTTTTCTCAGAACTCCATTTGGGCTCCACAATATATGGTTTTTAGAGCTAACTCAAAGGGATACAACTTTCATGTTTTACGTTTTTCCAAATTCCAAACAGAACAGGGTGAAGAACCGCGATTTTTCCGCGACCGCGGCAGAACCGCGGTAGAAGATGGTCGCGGACAACTGAAGAATCAGAGGGCATGTTTGTCCGCGGTTCCACCGCGACCGCGGCAAAACCGCGGCAGGAAGCGAAAATTTCAGGGACTAAAGTGCAAAATATGGGATTTTAAGTCCTAAACCCTATATTAAACAAAGGAGGCCGGCCAAGAACAAGAAGGGGACATATTTTGGAAACAAATTAGACCTAAGGAGGCGGAGAGACACTACTTTAGGGTTAGACAACACCCTTGGAGGCAAGAACACATTGGGAGCAAGGCGGAGAATTCTTCTACGAGTTTTTCCTTCCTCTTCCTATATTTTTCATTGTTGGTTATGACTTTTAGTATTGTAGTTTTACATACTATTATGAATAGCTAATTTGTTATCTAGAGTTTTGATAGAACCTTTTGTAGGATAAATTCTTGTTATGTTTTTATATAATTGAGCCATAGCTTTTCTCTATTTGTTCAACTACGTTTATATTGTGGTTGGTTGAAGAGCTCTCAATTAGCTGTGCCTATTTAGTATGAATAACTCGGGAGAGAGTGCATATTTAGGTAATTGTTGAACAACACCACTCCCAAAGTATATGAGGGATCAATAACCGAGGGTTTTAGGCGGGATTAGGGATAATGAAGCCTTGGGTGCGATCTGAAGTGAGCTGTATTAAAAGCCAGCTAGCGTAGCTCGGGAGAGTGCGTCTAGTAAATTGTCGTAATTACTCGGGAGAGATTTACGGTAATAAGAGTGCTCATGATCGGTAGAGAATACTTAGGCGAAATTATAGAAGACATAGCGGGAAGGATTCCGACAATAGGGGAATCATAACTCTAGACCTCCTTAATCTTTTCTCTAACCCTCAGTATCGTTAGTTGTTAATTTACTATTTTAATTTATTAGTTAATTAGTTAAACACAAGAATCTTAATATCTATAGGTTAGGAATTGTTCAAGCTTGTCTTCTTGGTGATAGTGAACAGCTGTAGCTAAACCTTAGTTCTCTGTGGGATTCGACTCCGGACTTGTAAACCGGATTATATTTGCAGCGACCGCTTAGTCCTTTTTATAAGGCATAGTTGGGCGTGATCACTACACCTATACCTGTCTTTTCTAATATAAAATTTTTGAAGGTCCAGGAAGGGAGGAGACCCTGGTTAGTTGGGTGAAAGTGAAACCAAAACATAAAAGTATTATATATAATATATAGTATATAATATATAATATATAATATACCTTAGAAATGCAAGCTAGAGAAATTTTTAGGGTTAATTTCATGTGTTGTGCTGAATTTTAATCACTGTAACAATAAAATTCACATTAAATTAATTAAATTTTATCCACAATAATAGTAATTACTTATGCTCACCCATGTTTATCTCAATCCATATTAACTTACTATGATTAAGTGATAGAAGTTTATGTGTAAACATATGTGTTTATGCATCTATTAGTTTGGTGTAAATACCGAATAACACAATATTTTACCGAATGTTTTCACTTTGAATATCATTTATTCTAGAGGCGGAGTCAGGATTTGGAATTGATGGGTTCGGGATTCTAAATCTTTTATGTTATTGGATTTTAAATTAATAATTCATACATATTCAATAATTTTTTTAAGAAATATACATAGTTTGGACCAAGCTATTGAGTTCGACCGAACCCGTAGGTCCTACTCTCCCCCCATCCATGATTTATTCTTCATTAACTCGGGGGTATTATCACTTTTAGCCCGCGCCAGAAACTATTTACATCTGGTAGCCGAAAAGTGTATGAAACTTGTAATTTTTGTATATAACATACAGAATGTATATATATACAACAAATAAATAAATTTTACACATTTTTTTGGCTATTATTTTTACAGCGGCTATACAATGTCATTTTTCCTTTAACTTATATACAACGATAACATAAAAAAAAAATTACAATATAAGATCACCTAAAATATAATTACAAGTAATACTATACTCATAAAAAGTAAAATTAGTAAACAAACAAATAAATAAATTATCTAGTCTTGTCATCCCCAAACCCTACGCTATTCACCCAAAGCAAAAACCAAAACTTGATTCCGGTCTTATTCCAATATATAGGTACGTCGGGGCAAGAGATAGCGACGTGCTTCCCACAATCCCACCTGCCCACGCGCAAACAGACCCCACGATTTTGGACTATTTAGACAGTGACTTAAAAAAAACCCTAATTTCTACTCTCTACACTCCTTTTAACACTCACACTACACAAAAAAGTTAGACCTATAAATTATGTTTAGAGACGGAGCTAGGATTTGAATCTTATGGGTTTAAGATTATAATCCTTTTAAGTTATTGAGTTTTAAATTAATAATTTATAGTACATATTTATTGGATTTCTTAGTACGAATACATGGTTTGAACAAAAACTACTGAATTCGGCTGAACCCCCGACCAGCTCCGCCCCTAGTGTAATATTTTCTTTCTATAAACTACGCACAGAAAAGAAGAAAAAACCCCTCAAACTCAACTCCCTAAAATCATTTCTTCCTCACCTCTTTTCATGATCCTCTATTCACCTTTTTGCAATAGTTAAATATAAAGTTAGACATATAATTATGTAAGCTCTCTCCTCTATATATTTTTTTTCAATCTCTATGTGCTTTATTCTATTTTTCCCTTTGGGTTTGATTCTTTCCAGGGTTGATGTTCCTCTTTTGCATATGTTCCTTATTTCCCCCTCCACATAATTAAGATCACTTGTTTCTCTTTAATTTACTTTTCTCTTCTTGTTTTTGTATTTTGTTCTTTTAATTCCTTTACTTGATTCCATGAACTACTTCTGCATCTAATTCTCTTCCCTTCTTCTAGACTATCTACACCTTTTTAAAAATAAAAAAAAGTATCCATCTTACCCTAATTCTACCTTCAATCTACAAAAGCATATATTTCAAGAAAGTCTAGTCATTTCAGGGTCTAACTGATCAACGAAGTAAGAATTGGTCTTGTGTTTGAGCTAAACTTTTAGTTGATTAATTTTGTGTAATTTGCAACTCTGGCTAATAGGTGGTGGGGTGGTGGGGTGGGCTTGCCTGGCCTAGAGCCAGGATCTTGCTCACCTATCCTACTAACAAAACAACTTTCAGTAAATGAAAGTAGAAGCAGTGGTGAAAATCAAGAAGACAACGATCGCGAAAATGGCGATCATGAACCTAAAGAAGGTGCTGTTGAAGTTGGAAATCGAAGACCTAGAGGTCGTCCTCCAGGATCAAAGAACAAACCCAAACCACCAATTTTTGTAACCCGCGATAGCCCTAATGCCCTCCGGAGCCACGTTATGGAGGTGGCCGGAGGCACAGATGTGGCCGATAGCATTGCTCAATTCGCGAGGAGGCGCCAACGGGGCGTTTGTGTACTGAGTGGGAATGGTACGGTTGCAAATGTAACCCTAAGGCAGTCATCAGCTCCAGGTGTTGTTGTTCTTCAAGGAAGATTTGAAATTTTGTCGTTGACCGGAGCTTTTTTGCCCGGTCCAGCCCCTCCTGGCGCGACCGGGTTAACAGTGTACTTGGCCGGTGGCCAAGGACAGGTGGTTGGTGGTAGTGTTGTTGGACCATTAGTAGCTGCTGGACCGGTCATGATAATAGCAGCCACTTTTTCTAATGCAACATATGAAAGATTGCCACTAGAAGAGGAGGAGGACGGCGGAGGCGATGGACCCGGCCAGTCTCCAGTACTGGCCGGAAATTCGCCTCCAGCCTTAGGTTCAAGTGGTGAAAGAACGCAACAACAACAACAACATGAGTTGCCTGATCCATCATCACTGCCTATCTATAATTATACACCAAATTTATTACCAAATGGTGGACAAGTGAATCATGATGCTTATGCTAATTGGGCAACTCCTCGACCACCTTATTAAGAAGAAAAAAAAGAAAAAAGAAATTTGAGGAATAAAAAGAAGATAGGAAGAGATGATCACTACAAGGTAATTTTCTATCTGCATTTGATTTTATACAAAGGAGTTTAATGTTTGTGTTTATAGGAAAATGTTTTGGAAGAAGTATATATAGTCAGGATTGAGAAACTATATACTTTTTCTAAGTAAATAAACATTTTCTCTAGCAGCTTCCATTATGATTGAAATAAAATATGTTTTCCTTTTTCTCCAATAAATAAATAACTCTATCTTTTAGTTAGTGTTTACTAGAAGAATTATAGGAGGATGTGTTCATAATGTCTTTGTTGTTGTTTCTCTATTTGTGCTTCAATATTTTGACTAGAAAACGATGAATGCAATCATGTGGTTTTAATTTGTTAAATATATTCAATATTCAATTCCCTTGCACTTTGATTTCTTTTCTCTTCATCAGGATATCATAATAGTTGTCCAAGCACTAAAGAAAGAACAATCCATGTGTCGTAGGTTGAACTATTTTATAATATATACACACACATTGTATGATAACTAAATAAAACAGTTCAATTATTACTTTGTGTTATATATATTCATTATATTCCCTTCCCAACAAATATTACAGAATGGAAGAGTTGACAAAAGGGTTCTGGGAATCCCACTAGCAAAAAACACTAAGTGGAATGACTGTCCACTTAATATAATAGAGGAGACAAATGCAATATTGTTGAAGACAGACTGTTATAAGCAGGATAGATTAAAGTTTAACTGTAATTTTTTAACTAGGGTTACCTTCAAAGTTGTTAATTATATTTTTAAACTCACTAAGAGAATCATCTATATATTATTATAAAAGCATGAATACGATGACGGATTACAAAAATAACCTTAGAATATTAAGCATAATAACTCATAAAAAAAGGATATAACCGGAATTCTAGATATTAGTCTTATAATCCTATTAGTTTTAGGACATAATACTACACATTATGAATCCTACATGATTGCCTTTAGGAATGCTCTTAGTATAATTACTTTCGGGCATAGCCATATAATACTACACGTTGTACATACATCTCAACATCTTTTATGTTTTGTTTAATAATTTAAGTACAAAAAAAACTAAAAGGAGCGTGTATAGCAAGCTTCAAACAATTGTGGGACTTACATGTCGTTTATAAAAAAAAAAAAGGAACTTTCGAATAGTATTTTAAAAAATTCATTTATCATAAAACGGCTAAAATGTCAAGTTTAAAGTGGTAATATATTCATACTTCACTTCAAAGTCCTTAATATTAAGTTATTTCTAACTTAATTAGTGATAGGCTACAACCTTTTGCCATTGTTCAAAATTTACGCACAAAAAACAATTGAGGCCATTAGCAAAACGGTTTCATTCTAGAATTATAATTGCAATTAATTTTAAAGTCCTAATATGGTAAAGTTTTAACTTTGACAATTTTATCCAACATAGGATTATCCAGAAAGATATAGATATTAGATAGATAGATAAATTACATTCGGGGTAGATACGTATTTTTAGTTATGTAATCCTATTACTTTTAGGATATACTTCTTAAAAATTTCTATTACTAATTTAATTTGAAAATGTATTATAATGTCCTATTACTAATTTAATTTGAGAATATATTATATTGTCCAAATTTATTTAGAAAAAGAAGAGCCTATATTATTATCAAAATAATAGTACAAATAGACCAAAATAACCATAAAATATTAAATGAAAGAACTCATAGGAAAAGGACATAACTGCAATAACCTATTTGTTGGACTACAATATCTTCTACGCTAATGTTTAATATTTAAGATTTTAAAATTAATAAAATTCTATTTATTAAATTCTTATTATAAATATGTAGGAACGTTTAATAAAATTAATTTCATAAAAATTAATCCTCTGTATTGGCAATACATTACCACTCCATAATGTCCAATACCCACAAAAAGGTAATATTAAATGGACTGCATAAAAAGTTAAAATTGAGAAGAAATAAAAATACCCCCACGATAATATATTTTTATATTATATTTGAACTACGTTCCTACTCAAATAATATTTTTTAAATCAATTTTTCTTGTAATATTGAAAAATATCCAATTATTAAACAACAACTAAGAAAATATTTAATATGTGAGAAAAGGGAAAAAAAATGGTTGGTAAGAGTCAATACCACTAATGATTCTACAAACATAAAGATCTAAACGCGAAATGTCAGATCAATCTTTTAGTCTTTGAAAAAAAAAATTATGGTGGATGATATTCGAAACAAGAGGTGAACTAATATTAAGATTTGAATCAACATAGAATAAAATATTTTTATATTAAAACTAAATAATTAGATCTTTTAATTAATTATTTAGCAAGAGAATCCAATTCAATTATTTTTTAAATTCATGAGTAAAATTCTTCTTCGAGTTTAAAATTTTTGTAGGGTACATAAATTTAAAAGGTTAGTATATTATTAAGGATCAAAATGTTATACAAGTGTCTGAGGAAACACAATCAAAGCTAAATCTTAAACAAGAACAAGTTTTCAAGACTATATTACAAAGATTCGACTCTAGTATAACATGATTATTCTTTGTAGATGCCTCCGGTGGAATCGAAATAATATTTTTATGTCACGCATTACTTGCAAATATCATATCAAGAGACATGACACTATTAACAATAATAGCAAGTGATGTACCAATAACGATTTTATTATGAGGCCACCCACTTTAGATTTGATATACATCTTCAAACAATTTAAATAACCATCACAAATTTATAAGAAAAGCAAAGTTGATAATATGGGATGAAGAATTTATTGCTAAGTGTCAAACGATCGAAATAATTGCCCGGAGTTCTAGAGATATATTGGATATTAATGAACCATTTGGTGGAAAATTAATGGTTTGGGAGGTGATTTCTGTCAAGTACTACAGGCAGTTCCAAAATCGACAAAAACATAACTAACTTGCCAAAGTTATACTTTTGGCCTTAAATGAAAAAGATTCAACTCACAAGAAATATAAAGTAAGAACATATCAAGATTTAGTGTCTTCTTGCTTCGTGTCGAAAATGAAGAAAAGCATCCAATAAAATATGATTTGGTTCTTCCTGAACACTTGGTTATCAACTCCAATGGTAATAATAGTGGATTTAATAAGAGAAATATTTCTATCATTAGATTAAAACGCAAATTGTGCAAATCGCATGATAGAATTAAAAAGATATCTTAACTAGCAGAAATGAATATGTTGATCAACTAAAGTAAAGGTGGATTGCAAAATTTTATAGTAAAAACAAAATATTTTTTAATTTTTGACTCAGCAGAAATGATACCAATAATTATTACCAAGAAGAATATACTTAAATACTTTAATACCAAATGGCCTTCTACCATACATTTTTGTTGTCAAGGTTAATATTTTTTTTACGTATGTTAGTATCACCGCATATATTATAGACTAAGTTAAAATTGATCTTCTATTATATATAGGTTGATTTTGAAGAAAAATATGTCCGTCATGCTACCAAAAACTTAGATACACCGAATAACTTATGTAATAGCACACAGATAGTATATAGAAGTTTTCACAATAACGTCATACATGCAAAAATTATGATACTGGTCATTGTGCTTCTAAGTATAATTTTATCCCTAATTCAACTTTCGTCTTCCGAAACTAAGGAATATCCTTTTAAATTTATATGAAAATAATTTTTAGTATGTTTATGTTTTGCAAATATAATAAATATACAAGGACAAACATCCTAAATATTAGACTATATTTACCGCAATATATTTTCTTGCACGAACAACAGTATGTTACACTTTCAAGAGGGATATCAAGAATTCAGATTTAGGCAAATCAACCAAAGCATTAGGAGGTAACATACACAAAAAAAATATTATTCACAAAAAATTATCTANATGTAAATAAGCGGATCAACAAGCAGCGATATTATATATCCGAGGAGTAGCTATACGCAGAAATACCAAATATTCTCTTCTAAAAGACCAAATAGGATAAGGTTCATTCACTAGTCTCACTCTTCTTAATCAAACAGTTTTATGAATCCGAAATTATCGTCACGTTACGAAAATATCACGTAGAGCATGCTTATGGGTCCTAGCCTACCCGTACTTAAGATAATAGTCGCTTTGCACGGACTCTCGTCACCTATTGCGTACGTAGCCCCCACAAACATTGGCAATTAATTCAATTATTATACCTATGGGGACAATTCCCTCTTACAAGGTTACAATGGAGACTCACCTCGCTCCAAGGTGCACTTCCAATGCCAAGAATAAGTCCAAACCCTCAATTCGGAGCCAAACGATCCCAAACTAGATAAACGAAAGAGCTAGTCAATATAGACTCACAAGATCGAATTCTAGCTACTTAAGAAATTTTCCAACCATTAACACAAGTTTTCCTAAAATCCGCCCCCGGGCCCACGTGCCCGGATTCCGAAATTTTTCTAAGGAAGTTGTTCCCAACAACCTAAGGATCACTAATATATGATTTCTAATTAATTCCATAACAAATTTCGTGGTTAAATCCAAGTTTTATTAAAACCCTAGGTTTAGCTCTAACCCTTAGATTTTTCCTAAGTTCTAGTGTTTAATCTACCTAAAATACAAGTATTAAACTAAGGATGGGGTGGAATAAACTTACCTCTTGATGCTAAGTGGAAACCTTCTCTTCAAAGCTCCCAAAATCGCAAATGAAAGAGTGAAAAGTGGCAAAAATGGGTTTGGAACCCGTCTTTAATGAACCTCACTAGTTCAGTGATTTTCGCATCTGCGGTCAGGGGACCGCATCTGCGAAAATGCGACCGCATCTGTGAAAAGGGGAGGGAAGACTGGGACGGCATCTGCGGCCTCCGGGCCGCATCTGCGGCTTGGGAGCCGCATCTGCGAAAATGGCCCGGGCCGCCCTGGGCCGCTTCTGCGATCGGAGGGACGCATCTGCGGTCCAAGAACCGCAGATGCAGTTATGACAGTAGCAGCAGTTCTTCAGCCCTTTCTCAAAATTTCCACTTCACTCGAGCCTCGTCTGATTGACGCTCGGGGCTCTTGGGCCCCGCCCGAGCATACTGACAAGTCTGAAATCACGAGGCGGACCTACCCGAACCTTCGGAACACCCGAAACAACGCTAAATCTAGAATCTACGCCCTAAAACCAAATGAATCAAACTTATGAACTTCAAGTTCTTAATTTTCCTCCAACCGGCCAAAACACCCTAAAACTACTCGGATTGACACCAAATTTTACAGGCAAGTCTTAAATGATATTTCGGACCTGTGCCGGGCCTCGGAACCAAAATACGAGCCCGATACCTAGAAAATCAATAATTAATTAGTTTCTTTAAATCCTTAAAACTTTAG